ATATATATATAATTGATTAGTAGTATTTTGAGCCAAAACGAGCCCAATACGAATGAACAAAACTTTGTTCGTGTTCGGCTCATGAACTTAGCGAACAAGCCTAATACGAGCTTCTTAACAAGCCGAACACGAGTTGTTCGCGAACAATGAGCCGTATTGACAGCCCTATATATAATATTCCCATTTCTGGGCTCCTTTCTTTTTATAATAGAAATTATAAGGAATCAAGAAATAATTAACGAGCAAAATAAATGGAAAATTATTAAACGATTTATAATTTTTGAAATAATAATTTAAATATATGGATTTGTTGACAGCGTAAATTTGATCATGATGGAGCGTATATTCTTCGAATTAGATTTGAAAAAATGCAACATAAGATTTAGTTACTTACTCCTACATCTCATTCATCTCAAAATTAATCCGACAGCATTGAAATCCATTTTTACTAAAATTACCCATGGCCTGCCATTACCAAAATTTATTTACGAAATTACCAATGCTTGCTTTCACGAACTTCTAAGGTGATATGTTCAAGGAAAATGCGTCCGGGCGACGGCCGTGATACAATGAAGGTCTGTATCACGGCTGGGGGGCGCAACTCGACGTCCGGGCGACAGACGTAATAATCTCTCTATGTTCAATACGTTGTTAGACATTACATTATATTTACATTTTATCAAATATGGTAAAGTCCGACTTATCAAATTTGTTATTTGACGAAAGGGTAGAGTAAGTCCACCTGGTAATCCGATTTATTAAATTCAGATTTACATGATAATGTGGGAAGAAAAAGTTAGAATGCGAGAATTCGATTTAACGGAATGTTGGATTAATTTTTTTTTTAATTTTTCTTATGAAGATTAAATCCTATTAATAGTTTTTTACCAAACACTGCTTAAGAAATTAACAATATTGCTATTATTATAATCAAATTACCAACCTTCTTGAAATTTGAATACTATTAATCGCTGGTAAGATGTTCAATTCATTTGCGCGGGTTTGTGCTATGAGTTGGTCTATTTTTACCAAATTCTTATTAAAGAGCAACACATAACTGCAAGAATCTAGAAGATTATACGAACGTTATAACAATTATTTCATAAAAAAAATAAAACTTTATGAATTTATTTTATTTATATTGCTTTCATTGTTTGATTTTCTGTCAAAGATGAGCCTTTCTTTTGTGTGTGTATTTTTTCCCCCTTTTTTTGTGACCAACATTTCTAATTTTGGCATGAACTTTGAATGTCGGAGGATCAAAATTATCAATTATAATTGGTATATTCTAAATAAAACTTTGAATAAACAGTTGATCAAAGGCCAAAATTGGGAAAAAGATATGCGGCTTGAGTGGCTCACATTTCCCCCTAACAAAATCCCTGTCGAGATCAAGCAAGATGTTTCCATTTTTAGCTCCAAAGCTCTTTAAAAAACAAACAAAAATGAACAAAAGTAAGTTTCAATATTCTCCTCCTCCTCCTTCCTTTTCTTATTCCACTTTACATGATTTCTTAGGTTCGAGATTATTGTTTTGGGAGAGTGGCTCTAGTCTGGGATTGAATCCATTCTATGCCACTCTCCGACTTTCATCTCACAAAATGAATTTATTGCTCAAATTATTCTCCTAAGCTTTGTTGGTAGGCTTAGGAATTTGTAACGAGAAAGCTATATATGGTTCGTTTCATTGCTTTTGTTGTTGCACGCCATCAAAATACTCCAATGCTCGATTAAGAAGGAGAGAGAATAAAAATGTGCCCTTGTTGCAGAAGTTCTAATGAGGGGAATGATAGAAAGAGAGGCTGTCATGAGATTGAATTTTTATGTTGCGGTGAGTCCCCATCAACAAAGAACAATTCACCAAAAAAAAGTTTTTGTTGTTTTTCTTGTAGGAAAATTTCAAAAAATGATGCAGAATCTAGAATAGAAGAAAAGGAAAAGAGATGTTTTGTTTGCTTTAAGTCCTTCAATGCTGAAAAAAAGAGTAGAAAGAAAAGAGGTTGTGAAAGTGGATGTTTATCTTATAATTCATTACCAAGAGATGACTTTTCTGAAACAAGAAGATGTTGTTTTTCTTGTAAGAAATCATCTATGGAAGCTAATTCTAAGGGAGAAGGAAATGGCAAGGAATGTTCATCTCGTTTTAGGTTTTATAAGGAGAGGAAGCAGAGGAGAAGAGGATGCGGAATTGGATGCATGTGTCCTAAGAAATCATCATCAAAGGAGGATTTAGTTGAAAGACAACGATGTTGCGTCTCTAACAAAAAATTATTGAAAACGGTTACTGAATCAAGAAAAGAAGAAAAAGACAGGCATTGTTTCTCTTGCTTGAAGTCATCCAAGGGAGAAGGGAAGGAGAGAAACGATTGTGGATATAGTATTGGATGTTCTTGTTGTGGTGAATTATCATCAAAGGATGAGTCATCAAAATCTAGAAGATGTTGTTTACCTCCAAAAAAATCTTCAAAAGAGGAATCAAAGTCAGGAAAAAATAAAGATAATAGGTGTTGCTCTTGCTTTAGATCATCTAAGGAGGATTCTTCAAACAAAAGAAAAAATGGGACATCATGTTGTATTTGTTGTTTCGATAATAATATATTGATAGAGGATTCATCAAAGAATGAGGAAAGAACCATCTGTTCATGTTTCGATTGTTGTGTTGGTAAATCACTAAAAGAGAATTCTTCAAGAAAAGAAGAAAAGTTTTATTCTCAAATTCGCAACGATATATTGTCCAAAAAGCTTAATCATCAAATAATTAGCCAGAGGATAAGAGAAAATGAGAATTCAACAAAAAGAAAAGAAAATAAAGTTTTGTGTTTTTGCAACTTCTGTTGTACTAAATCTTTGGATAAGAGAAAGCAGATATCGGAGACAAAATGCATCTTTGATTGTTTCTATTGTGTTAAATCTGAAAGTCGTCAGAATTCATTGTTTAAGAAGAGAAAAGGATCTTTTTGTGGGCAAATTAAGGAGCAACCAAAAGTTGGGAATCACCTTACAACCATAATGCATACCTTATCATTAAAATCAGGTACACTTTTATTATTTATTGTCTTCTCAGTCTAAGGATTTATAATATTACTTGTAACAAATATAATTAATAAAAATTGAATATTTATATTAAGTGTTTGATTTGAATGAGTTTGTATTAACTAATCGTATCTAGCATAGTATGGTTAATTTTGTTAGGGAAATAACACGTCTAACTTTACGCTACATAAATATCAATCTAAAAGTATATTGAATAATAGGGTAACTAAAAAGAAAATCAAACATTATTAAAGAAAATCACCAAATTATATGTGATTACACTTGAGTAAGTCAATAATCAATCAAAGGAGAAAATATTTTGATCAATTAAAAGTTGCAATCACACAATATAATAAAGGTACTTACCAAAAATTTCTAAACCTTTATTATAGTCTCAATTAACAAATAAAAGAAAATCCTTAACTCTCTTAAAATAAATTTAAAATATATTTATGAAAAATAATAAGAAAGAGGATTAAATAAGTACTTAAGATAACTCACTCCAAAATTTTCTCTAAAATGGTATTGTACTTTTGTTAGAATGATACATCAAACTTTTGAAAATTGAATTTTTTTTTATATTATTATCTTTCTTTCTCTTCTCCTTTATCATGCTTTTGTACTAATTAATCTTCCATGTGTCATATATACACCAACCCCAATCCTAAAAGAAAATTACATAACTTCTACAAATTTATAGGTTCTTTCCAAGGTTTTATGCAAGAAGCTTGATGCTTAGATCACGCGATTCATGCATGGAATGAGTCAACACCTAATAAATCACTTAGATCACTTGAAGCTTGAATCTACCTTTTCTTGTAATTCATGCATGATATCAATTCAACAAAAATTATCTTTCATCACTCAATATTTTAGTGTCAAAAGCCATGACGGGGCACAATATTATTGGATTTAAATTTCTCGTGAGTTGAATATATATGAGAGATTTATGTTGCACTAATATTAAATATTGATATTTGTTGAATCCAAATTTGTCCGTAGGACCGTGCCCAAGGAATAGGGCTGGATTTTGGGGTGGAGAAAGAGTGGGAAAGAAAAAGAGCGAGTTTTTTCTTATTTTATGCCCCTTCTTATAAGGGGAGTCATAAGGGGTACTCTGGTCATTTTCCTGCTCAAACTGGTCCTTCTGGAGTTCTTTCTTGTTGATGGATTCGTCTGCATCAGGTGGTCTGCCCAGGTGACCGGTAGCAAATAAAATATCAAATTTTAGGTGTTAGTTATGTAAGATAAAGAATTGGGTGGAATGCATGTAAATTATCTTCATTTAAATCATATTTATATATTTGTTTGATATATACGAATTGGGTGGTATGTATGCAAATATTTTATTTGAGATGTCGTCGGTCTGAGTTGGTCGGCTTGAGGTGGTTAATCGGGTGGTCGGCAAGAGGTGGTTAGTCGTTGGGCGGCTAACGTGGTCGATTGAAAGGGGTGAATGACTGCCTCGACATGCCCCTTTTGTTGAGGGAATAAAATTATCCTTTATTCGCTTAGAAAACACTAATGGGATTTGTTTTATTGATGGGGCCCACCATAGATCTCAAAAAACTTTTATTTAAATGATCGGATACGACGTTCAAAGAATCCTTTATTCGCTTAGAAAACACTAATGGGATTTTTTTTATTGATGGGGCCCACCATAGATCTCAAAAGACTTTTATTTAAATGATCGGATACGACGTTCAAAGAATAATATATTATCTCAAAAGATCGAAGTATTACCTTAGAAATGATCTAATCATTTAGACGAAGAAAATCTTTGGGATTTATGGATTTTCATAACTAAGATTATTTTAATTCTTGGGTATGGTATCTCTATGAGGGGGCTATCTCATAATTAATTACACCTCAAGAATTACTCTTGAGAAAACTTTTGATTAAAGCTATGCCTCATGTCTTGCTTATTCATTAATGGATATTCATCAAATGAATAAAATTTAAAGATTTTGATGAAATGGATAAGATTGGATAGGTTGACTTCACTTGGGTTTCAAAATGGTTTTCCTTTAGCTTTGTGCCCAACTATTGATAATTAAAGTGACATAAAGCTTGAATTGATTTAATTGGATTGATTTAGTCTTGGGTCTGAATGAAATTAGAGTTGTTTTGAAATTGATTTGATATTTAAAATTAAATAAGGATTGAAATAGATTGAATTTGGATTGGATTTGGATTGAGGTTGGATTGATATTGTATTTGGAGTTAGGTTTTGGATTGGAATTGGATTGAGGTTGGTTTCAGCTAACTACGTTAAGTTTGGTTTGATTAGGGTGAATTGATTTAAGAGGTATCCTAATCTAAAAGGTAGGAAAATGAACAAGATTTCTAGATGGAGGTAAAGCCCTAATCTAATTACCTCTAAACAGGAAACTATAGGTGACCTAACCTAAATTTGGGAGTATCACACCCAGCCAAAATGCCAATGACTTTCCATCGCCCCGGGTACATTGTTAGCCTTAGACTATTAACCATTAGAATAATAGGAATTCTCCCTTATTGCTATAACAATAAATTAAGGTAGTCATTCTCGTTATAAAAGTAGTTGTGAATATCTTCATTCATAGCATGGGCTACTTCATCTTAGGATACTCATTGTCTACAGTGGTAAGTCAGTTTGTTTTATAGGTTCTAGTCCTTAATTTTAATTCTAAGGGGGAACCTAGAACTAACCTAGGGCTTCTATATTAAACTAATCTAGGGTATGTGTATAGACCTACGTTTTCATCTGCGTTCACCACCCTAGGGGTACAGTTTGGAACTATCATAAGCTATGGTTTATAAAGATTAGAGTTGGTATATTTTAATTGTTTTGGGGGTTTGATAATTAATAGTGATTTTTCCTCTTAGAAATTATCAGCCATAATGACAAATCAAAGGTTTTCTAGGTGTAGTTTGGTTATTTTTCCATTCTAAGTTAAGTTCTAGTCAAATTGTCAATCATATATTGTTTGTCTATTAATTGTTTCAGTTTATCTTCCTAAAGATTTGTTCTCCCTTCACGGGTTTTAATTGCAGCCAAGCGATATACCCTAAACAAATGAAACTAAGTTTCTTAATTTAAAATTCTCATAATAAAGATTTACTTGTATTCCCATTAAAGTAATAAAAGTATTCTTTTCATATAAAAATATTTAGATATATTTCAAAAGTTTTGTCATTAAAAAATATTTAGGAATAGAAGTTTATCTTTATTACGAATTATTTAAATTAAGATAATCCAACACTTATATCCTCAGAAGTTTGAGACTACAAAATCATATGTTTCTAGGGAGAAACATAGAGAGCCTAAAGAGACCCCCTTTATATGACAAGTGGTCCTCAATTTATAGGGATAAAAAGAGTGGGGAACAAAAAAAGAGGGGGTCATGAGGGGTTCTCCAATATTTTGTTTTACTTGAACCGGCCCTCTTGGTGTTTCTTTTTATTGCTAGATTTGTCAGAGTCAATCGGTCGACCCAGGTGGCAAATAAAATATCAAAATTTAGGTGTTAGTTATGTAAAGATAAAGAATTGGGTGGTATGCATGTAAATTACATTCCTTTAAATTAACTGTATTTATATATCTATTTAATATACAAGAAATGGGTGGTATGTATGCAAATAATTGGTTTGAGAGGTGGCTGGTCAGAGTTGGTTTGATGGAGGTGTTCGACTGTCGTTGGGCAGTGAACTTGACCGACTAAAAATATTGATTGACTACCTCAGTATGCCCCTTTTATTGAGGGAATAAAATATTCCTTTATTCTAAAAAAACACCATGCCTTTAAAGCCTGACAGTAGGGAATGCACACTAAATGCTAGTGTACTTAAGGATTTTATGGCCAGGAGACTAATTAAATGGAGTAGCTTTGAAACTATTCCCTTACGTGAACACTTTCTGTTGATCGATTGAGTGGCTTGATGGGGTTGTCAGCCTGTTCCGACCTACCCGCAAGTTTGGCTAGTCCAAATGGCTGACCAAGGTCAGCTCGGAGGCAAGTAAGGTCAGCCCAAGTGGTCAGGTGGCAAGTTTGGCTAACCTAAGTGGCCAGGCTGTGGAGGTTGGACTGCCAAGATGGTCGGGAGGCAAGTTTGGGCGGCCCAAGTTGTAGTGGCCAACCCTATATGCTAGTTGGTTAGAAATCTTGTTGTTGCTGGCCTGATTTTGACGAAAACCTTGGTGGCGACGGTGGTCCTGTTGGTTGGATGAGGAGGCCTACATTTAGGCTATGCAAGATTATAACATTGATTTGGATTATGATTATATTACTAAGTTTTTTACCCAGGAAGTAGAGGTCTCCATTCCTTGAATGACTCAATGATATGAGCTAGTTGTAAGGCTGGTTTTATGAAGTTAGCTAATCCTTTTATTATATCCAAAAGCCTCTCCCTCTACTTGTCTATCTTTTTATTCCAAAACAATCACTACAGCCTGGAATCCAATTCTCATTTGCTTCACAAAATTCTTGTGCCTCAAAATAGTATAATCATGCACATACCACTTGATATTGTATTTCACAACATAATGACTATATATATATATATATATTGATATAACAAAAGCACCTTTTGAACATTAAGAGAATTAGCATCACCAGAGATTTTATATTAAACAATTTAAAGATAATTTAAGGACATTAGATTCTTTGTAAAATTTAATATAAAACTCTCACGATCATGTGCTCTTAACTCTTCAATGTTAAAGCCTAGTACTAAATATAATTTCATTTCTCATCTAATCAAAATTGACAAAACTTGGCTTATGTATAAAAATTATATTTAAAATAGAAAAAAATTGTCTTAAATAAGTTGAGTTCAAAATTCATTGCTCTTTATAGTAGCATCCACAAAGCACCAAAAGAACATTACTAATATCAAAATCAATTTAGTCTTCAATAACTCTTTTATATACAAATATATCTTCTTTGTAATTATCATTTGTATGATATCCCTCGATTTAAAATATGAAATACTTTTATTGTGCACTTTCTTCCAATAGTAAAAGGAAGTAACATTCTTAAACTTGTCGTTTGACTTTCTTCTATCATGATTATAAGGGAAGCCTTGCTCATAAGGTCCTCTTAACCTATAATAAAGCTTCAATTTTTTTTTCATTATTATCATGTTCATTGAGCTTAGCAATCAATTTAACATAAGTAACTTTTTTTTTAGTTTTTGATGCTTATTATATCATGTCTATATAGCATGGTATCACTTAAGTTCTTGTAATAATAAAATGAATGTTATAATATTACGATAGTTTGATTTTCATCAGTAATTATTTTACATAAAAAAAAACATGTAGTCTTGTTGTTTCTAGTAAATTTTGTAGTATACCACTTTTAGTAGTTGTTCCCTCTAAGAGCTTCACTAAGATATCATTTGTAAAATACAATTGAATTTCTTAGAGTGTTTTTATCCACCTTTATATTCACTCATGATTTTAGGCACAATGGCATGCCTATTGACTGTATTTAAAAGTTATTTCTAGACTAGATAGTCACACGTCTTGGTTCTCCAAAAATCAATGCTATTTAACCCATTCAGTTTTATGATTACTGTATTCACCGAACCACCACTTTAATATCCAGTTATTGAGAAAAAAATGTATTTAACTTTACGTTTTGAAGGTATTAACCAATGAATGCATATGCTAAATAATAAAATAACTATAAAATGGATTATGCACCAACAAATAAAACATCATAATATATTTGGTTTAGCTTTAATAAGCCAAAATTTATGAGAGGTCTTAGAGGATTTAATCTACTAATAAAGAACCATAATCTATAAGCACATAAAAATAAAAGTCTAAAGTCATTCCTAAACTTAGGAATAACCTTAACAAAGGAAAAAAATAAACCACAACAAGACAAGTATGACATGAATGATTTTTGTAGAGATAACAAAGAAAGATGCTTTAAAAATACTTTAAGATTAGCCACTTTTGAGTTTTGTCAAATAAAATAACATTGTTGGTTTGCAAGGTGTTATTTTGGACGCCTAAAAATAAGCTTGAGATTTATTTTTCTTTTCTCTTTTGTCTCTTCTGAATTCCTTTTCAACTTATTAATCTAAAAACTCAGAATTTTCTTGTTGCTTCAAAACCATCTGAGCTTCCATACATTAACTTATATGGCCGCCAAATACAAATGCAAATGTATGTAATAAATGTAAAATTACTCTCAACTCATTTCCAAATTTTCACACAATATATATATATATATATAACACCATGTAATTCATGCAGAGATATCAAGTTAGTACCTTAAAGCTTACTAACTAATTTCGAAGCTTTAACATAAGAGGCTTAATATCTATGTCCCTATATTATTTATGTATGATAAATGTTTGAAATATACTTCATGCTTCAAAATGAGTGTCAAACAAGAAGAAGCCAAAGCTGAGCCTAGCTAATGCATCACTCTTTTTTACCAAGAAATTTAAGTCTATGGGAGAAGCTTAGCCACTTAATGTTTATATACTAACTTGCTTTTATTTTTTTAGGGAAACCTATATATTCTCACAAGCCTTAAAAGGCATCAAATTTATTTTTTTATCATTTGTCCAATCAAATTTATATCTCTCTACAAAAGAAAATACATTTAACTTAACTCATGAATAAATCTGAAACCTTTGAATAGAATATGAAGACATGGTCATATCTCAAGCAGAAGAGGCTCTTCCAGTTGCAAATGAAAACGATGCAATGCAAATTTTTACATACAAAGAAATTGCTACAGCAACAAAAAACTTCAGTGAAGATTGCATTCTAGGCTCCGATGAGTGTGGAAGAGTATACAAAGGAGAACTACAAGAAGTAAATGAGGTTGAAAATCCTTACTTCTATTGCAAAATTATTACAAGAATTTATTCATGTAGCATTAAATTCATCTCTCTCTCTCTCTCTCTCTCTCTCTCTCTCTCTCTCTATATATATATATATATATATATATTCTTTTAACACCTAACATATATACTGAATTGGTCCTCATGTCATAGATTGTAGCTATTAAACAACTTCAGAGGAATGGAAATCAAGGGGAAAATGAATTCTTTGGTGATGTAGTGAAGCTCAGTTTCCTTCATCATCCCAATCTTGTAAAACTGCTTGGATATTGCTCTGAAGAAGATCAAATAAGTCTAGTGTACGAGTATATCCCCTTCGGCTCATTACAAAATCACCTTTTTGGTATGTTTTGTACCTCCTCTAAGTTTATTCTTATTTTTAGTCTAATAAATGTTTATGTTAATGTGAACTTTATGTCTTTTACCTCTTAATTCTCTTATTACATTTTCACTTGCATTCTTAATTTTTTTTTTTTTTTTTTTTTTTTCAGATTTGTCAAATAAAAAACCATTGGATTGGTTCACAAGAATGAAAATAGCAGCAGGAGCAGCCAAAGCCCTCCTTCATTTACATGATGTAGCTGACCCTCCGATAATTTATCACAATATGAAAGCATCAAACATACTTCTTGACGAGAACTACAATCCAAAATTATCAGATTTTGGCTTAAAAAAGCAGACAAGGGTGATGGGAGCCTATGGATGTTATGCTCCAGAATATGCATTTACTAGACAATTTACAAAAACTACTGATGTTTATAGCTTTGGTGTTTTGCTTTTGGAGCTCATCACTGGAAGGAAAGCTGTAGACATTACCAGACCAAAAAACGAGCAGTATGTTGCTGATTGGGTAAGTTTTTTAATCATTAAATGATTTTTTTGGGTTAATTTTGAATTTAATTATTTGCTTTAATCAAGTTGTTATAAGTAAACCATAGGTATGAAAGTTATTAGCAAATTATATGAGAAGCTAATAATAAAGGATGAAAGCTTAAGGTCCATTTTGTTACTTTTAGAAAGAAATTTGTTTTAAGAAATAGTGAAATTTAATTGATTCTGTGATTTGCTTTGATGTAACTAAAATTTAACATGGATTTTGAACTTTTGTCCTTGTAATTAATGATTATTATTTCCATATAAAAAATAAGTAAGAAAAAAGAAGAAAGCATCAATTTCTAAAACATATGTTCTTATAATTAACCAAATGACATCATAAAAGCATAATAGTTACACACATGTTCAAGCTAAAAGATAATCAAGCGGTGTTTAGAAACAAAGAAACCAAAAGAAATTGTTTGAGGTGATCTCTAGCACTTAAGCATCATAAAAATGTTGGAATGGAGAAGTTTTTTGGATATGACAAAGGCTAAAAACTTATGAAAGAAGCTTCACTCTTATTTATCACCTTAACTTGACTTGATACAAACTTAAAGACTCTACCCATATTTATACTAGTGACACCTCCTAAATTAATTGCTAGGATTGTGCCACCACAATTTCAATCCAATGGTTACAAATAATTCTAAACCTACCACACAATAATTCCACACCTACCACACCTACCATACAATAATTTCATACCAACCACATATTCTAGAATAAGCTTCTAGAAATTAAGCTTTATTAAACAACTAAAATCAAGTTTATATTTCAACAGAAGAATCATTAAGATAAAGCATTTTATGTTAATACCACCCAAATCTTTTATATCAAATCAAAAATATCATTTTTTTTAATTTAAAAAAAAATGAAACACACATTTTCATGCATAGTTGGCTTATTTGTATTTAAAAATTAAAGTATAGGGATTATAAATAAATGATATGCATGTAAGTCTTCCTTTTACTTCTGAAATACAGGCTGCACATCTTTTTAAAGATAAAAGGAAATATCCAACAATGGTGGATCCATTCCTCAATGGAAACTATCCGATTAAGGGCCTTCACCAAGTCCTCGCAATAGCTAACATGTGCCTCCAATATGAAGCAAGCAGTCGCCCGCTGATGAGTGATATTGTTACTGCAATTGAGTATTTAATCAAGCCAGAGTCTGATTGTTCGGAGCCCTTGGAACAATCTTTCATTTCTGATCAGTTAATTTCTTTAGACCATGAAAAGTTGAACTTTCAATCAATTCCAGGCAGTAGCAGAATGCAAAGTGCTGCCATGAGCTTAGATGATGAGTCCTTTCAATCATCAGCGAGTGAAATCGAAATCTGTGGAGCTTTGATGGAAGAAGATGAAGATGCATAAGCATGAAATGTTGAAGTCCAAGAACTTGTTATGCTTTGGGATGCATGTTGGTAACCTTGGAGTGATAAAACTCTTATTTTTTGTCTTGTTATTATAAAATAAAAATTATTGTATTGATAAAAGGCTTGATTGGATGGCTTAAGTAAAATCGAAAGCCGTGGTGCTTTGATAAAGAAGATGAAGCAGAAGCATGAAATATTAAAGGTCGATGTTATTACGTTGAAAGAACTTGTCAGATCAGCTTTTACAGTGAAGATCATGATTAGCGATAGAACTCATCTATCTATCTATCTATCTATCCATGATTAGTTAAAGTTTTACATGCGTGTTTATAACTTTGTAGCGATAGAACTCATCTATCTATCTATCTATCTATCTATCTATCTATCTATCTATCTATCTATCTATCTATCTATCTATCTATCTATCTATCTATCTATCTATCTATCTATCTATCTATCTATCTATCTATCTATCTATCTATCTATCTATCTATCTATCTATCTATCTATCTATATATATATATGTTGACATGTGTGTGTATATATATGTATATATTTATATATGTGTGTGTGTGTGCATATAGACATATATATACATGTGTGTGCATATACATGAATATACATATGTCTATATGTCTATATATACATATAAACATACATGCGTATATTGTACATACTTATATATACAGATATATATATATATATATATATATTGTATAAAACTTGATCAATCTACTGCCACTAGCCCGATTGGCTTGATCGACCACTCTCTTCGACTAGATCGATCAACGTCCTCTTGGCCAGATCGACTCGATCGACTATCTCTGTCGGTTCGACTGATTGCAATCAGTTCACTCGACTACCTTCCATTGACTCGATCGATTAGCTATCACTAGCTTGATCAGCTTGATCGACCACTATCGTCTACTTGATCGATCGGCCACTGATAGGCTCATTCAGCTCGATCGGACTTTTCCATCGGTTCAACCGATTGATTGTCATCGTTCTGATCAAATCAACTGACTACCTTTATCGACTCAATCAACCGACCTCCATCAGCCTAATCAAATTAATTGACTCTGCTTGATTCATGCATGATTGCATGCTTATTTCATACTGCTTATGTGAGCACATTCGCACTAGCACCCAACCGTGCATTTGTGAGCATATGTCCTCATATGTTCATAATGAGTACTTGTGTCCCCACGGGCACATCACTTTATACATTTATTTTGTGGCATAATTATGTCGCTTTGTACCAAGTCGCAGATGATTTGTACTTGCAATTTCCACTTTTGCATGTTCGCTTACATATCATCTTGCATGTTCATGACTTGCATGCTTGAAGCTACTTGCAATTGGATTTGTGTTATCACACACTCATCTCACACTTGATGGCTTGCCATCAAGCCCACCCAGTGTGTAATTCTCTCCAATGAGAATCACATTACCTTATCTCCTACGGTGTCACTTTGGAATGTCGTAGACTTTTTTTTTTTCTTGACTCACTGTTTCTCACACACTCTCCTCCAACACTCTCATGTCCTTTTCGGGGACGGCTTGCACATCAAGCCTACCTGGTGTGTAGTTCTCCCTAATAAGGATTATGTCACCTCTTTTCCTATAATATCACTTACATGTACCAAAGATATGCCACATCATATCACTTGGCATGGATCAAAACATATGTTGTGGCTAGGACAATATATGCTAGATAGCGTGCAAGGTTAGGATAAGGGAGCTAGATATACTTTTCAATGTTCTGGCTATAGTTCTTTGTTGGTTTGGTTTCCCTAGCCAACCATCACTTTTCTGGGATTTTGTGTGTTTACTGGGTGTAAGACATGGACATAAGTATGTCAGAGGCGATCTTTTTACATGAAGTCATGCCCAACATGGAGGAGCTGTAATGATTCACACTAACGTAATTTTTGCAGGTGATGCTTACTTCTTTTCCCATCAAGCATGGTTCACTTCGTTGCATGCATATAACATGTGCTAACCCATTTGTTTTGCGGGCCACGCCATTTTTTTTTTTTACTTTCATTATATACTTTTTAGATTCCCTTGACTCGAGTCTTATATTAGAAATAAGGTATGGTTACGGACTCCAAGAAGCCAGACGGGTGGAGTAACGGACAAGGACCAGAAGTTGTAAGCTCGTGTTCTATACCTTGATTCTGATTTCTCATTTATGTATAGAATTAGGACCAAACTTGTATATGCAGTGCATAACCGCTATTTTCTCTTTTGTGAGATATGTTGTCGATCCAGTGACATCAGTATTTTTTATTATATTTGGAGTGCTTTTACTTTTCAGCAGTGTGATTGTCTTGGCTTTACAATTATTTGCTTATGGATTGTGTGAGAATCATGAGTTATAACTTAGGTTCTCTAAAGGCCTAAAAGTTAAAAATTTTCTACAAAATAATAATAAAAGATTAAGATTAATCAAAATTTTGAATTAAAATATTTCAAGATTTTTCAAAGTCTGTCTTTACTTTCTTGCATGGACTTCAGGCCAGATTTTAAATACGTTGCATAACATGTACATATATATAGTCATATTAATAGAGCTTCCACGCTTAAGATTAGAAAACTACATCATATTGCACGTCCCGAGGAGAAGTCCCCATACTCCTATAACCTGACTGGCACAACATAGAATTCTACTTAGGAGGTTGTCTAGTGCATTTAGGGTGTTAGAGGCTTCTTCGATCCAGAAGGGGAGTAAGTCCTTTGTGAGAGGATTTTGGATTCGTAGTCTTACCTCTCTTTTCTTTCCACTCCAGCGACTTCCTCGTCACTTTAGCAAGTATAAGTCCCACCTCTACTTTTATTACCTACATAGGGGCATAAGATTTAGAGTTTCCTTCTCTAAACTTTAGGGCTACCAAGGTCCCCTTGTACGATGCAATTCATAAATTGCTGACAAGGGCTCTACAGCTGTGGTGGGTCTACTACCGTCACGACCAGGTATACCTGAGATCTTAATAGGATGGGATGATAGATCTATAGTATTCTGACACGACTATCTCTACCCGATTAGTATTACTCTACCCTTCCTTTGCTTACCCACTTTGAGCCATGTCACTTCTTTGACACTTCATCAATGTCGTCTGATAGGCCTCAATTGTGAATAAGCCACCACTCATTTGGGATACGATAATTCACCCTCTACCCTTATAGCCCAGATTGGCCTTGGAAGCATAGTGGGGACCTTACGAGATGACCAGATTATTTTATAGGCCCTGTTCATCGATGAGACATTGCCAATTTAGGATCGTTAGAGATTCATCCTCTGCTTTTGTGGCTTAATGAGAGCTTTGAAGGCATTTTGATGCTCCTATGAGATAACCAACCTTTGTGAGGAATAGATGCGGGGAGTTTTATCATATATGGAAATTATTAATTCAGAGATTTCAATAGATGCAGGGAGACAAGTGGAATGTCCAAGCTTTCTTATTGTCACCAGAAGGGGCTAAGAAGGATGCTTGCCCTTGATAGTCACCTACGGTCGTCACATCCTTAAAATTAGGTTTTTAGGATTTAATTTAGAGGAGAGAACTTCTTTCCCTGTAGTCTTTTTGCATTATTAAATTAGGACTAGATTTACAGAAATTAGGTTAGCCACTTCACTAAAAATCATCACAAATCAATCACTCAAGCTAGGTTTTAATTTAGTAGGCTAAAACTTTTCATAATTTAAGATTTATTCATCCTTGTGGGATCGATACATGAAACTCAAATCTATATATTACTCATATGATACGTATAGTTTCATGATTCATCGGTGCATCACTTTGTATCAAGAGACAAGCGTACTGCTTTCTTCAAGTTCTTAAGGCAAGCAAATAACTTCATATGATAATTTGAATGTGAGCAAGCGTTTAAAAAAATAAAGGACTTCCTAGCATCACCCTCACTCTTGCAAAGTCCCAAGCCAAATGAGAATTTTTTTCTTTTTGTACTTATGGGTTAGCTCAAAAGTTTTTAGATTGGTTTTAGTTTGAGAGGAGCAAAGAAGCAATTCTCAATCTACTATGTCTGCCAAGTCCTTCAAAGTGGCAAGTTCAAGTATCTAAAAATGAAAAAATCTATTTCTATCTCATTATCTCCACTAACAGGCTTCACCATACTTCCAAACACATTAGATTCGGGTAATTATCGGCTATCCATTCAAGTCTGCCCTTACAAAACTTGAACACTCCAAGCGACTTCTGAAATGGACAGTGGAGCCAAGTGAATTTGAGAAGTCATATCTATTAAGAGCTGTCACCAAAGGCCAAGTGATTGTTTATTTTCATGGCAGACATTTCTAAGACGAACGGTCCTAGATACATAAGAATACGTGACAGCTCAACCTGGATACTAAACATTCATGGGGTGACCAATTGTGCTAGGGCGAGACTCCGCCTCACCCTTACTAATACTAAGAACAATCTTGTTTATTATTCAGTAGAGGTGAAGTTTTAGGTTACCAACAATCAGTTAGTCTATGATTTGCCTATGCAATAGGTGCACAACTTAAACTCCTTAGGAGGCAGAAGTGTGCCCTCTCAACCTACACCCAATGTATTTATAAGGAGAGCGGAGGAAGTCAAAATCCGACACAAGGGCAATGACATAGTTTATCAACCCATTACACTAAAAGATCTTCGTTGAAAAAAAACTAACAAAAAAAATACAACAGATAAAAGATTTTTTAATTATTCCAACAAAAGCATACAAAGTATAAAGAGGAAGCAAAATACTTAACGAGGGGATTTGATACTGCTTCGGTCAAGACATGCCTCAATTAAAACAGCCTCATGTATAAAAACTCTCCCCTAACCTAAATTGGTTAAACCTTCCGACTCAACCTGCGCCTAAAAGACACAAACTCTTTCTTGCAAATCTAAAAGTTATTGATGAAGGCTATCACCGTCTTCTCCACCTTTAGCATGCGAGCTGACATCTCATTCATCTCCTCATCCTGCTTGACCCCAATAACCACTCGAACAAAATAATTCTCCAATTCATCCATGCGAACATACAACATTTTAGGGGATGTTTGAACCCCTTCAGTGACCTCCTTATAAGTCTTAGGGGGAGGCGAAGGACTGTCAGGACGATCAACCCATCATCCTCATCAGAAAGTCGATCACCTTCAGAAATGCTTGGTCAATGATCCCTGTTGGGGCCGGTTGGACCTGCTTTCGAGTTTGATATGTCAGTGTTGCCTGTATAACCAAACCTCAAAAGTACCATAGAAAAAAACCCCATACCTAGAAATAGAAGAAAATTTGACATGTCAAATGTCCTTGTAGACTCACCAGCGAGCACAAACTGAAGTAGCGGGAGTGAACTAGAAGCATCCAAGTAACCTAATTAGACAGGAGTCTCTGAACAATGAAAGGAGATACTGAGGTCGGATCAAAGTTCAAATCAATTGTCTGTGTTTCCCTTTGCATTCTACAAATTTCGAGTTGGATGAACCTATTTAATTCTGCAGTGGCAGCTGAATTTTTCTCATGGTACACTCCTCTTCCTTTTACTCTTTATGCGATGCCGACCTTTTAGCTTTCCAAAAGCATGGTGGATCAGGCCTTTTTCAGGAATATCTCCTTGGGTTTTCTTTTTGTTGTCCAACACGATGCAAAAGATATGAATGGAAACCAACAAAAACAAAAGAGAGCACCATGCATAGTAGGAGTAAGGAAGGAGTTCCAATGCACTATTTATAATAAATGGAAACATAAAAAATCAAGAAAGTTCAATTATTGAGTCATTGGTTAAACAATAAATGAAATCTATTTTTTTGCATTTAATTCTCCTATTTTTATCGCATCGTCAATTTCAAGAAGTAGATGAATCAACGAACTAAAATATGTACATCGAAAATGTGTCTGCATTGTTCCTAAGAAGATTTAACGATCTAGAAGGGAAAAGTATGATGAAGGTGTCATTGTCAGGAGATCATCAAAACCACATAATTGAACGAACCAAGCCAATCGGGCCAAAACCGACTAAGCCACGAGGCAAATAAGAAGATGATTGAATGATCCAAGCACGAGCCATCCAATCGAACATGAGATGAAAATGCATCTTAGCTAACAACTACAAGAAAATCAACTCGATGTGATAACATACCCCCAAGTAGTGCCAATCCAAATGAAGGTCCAATTCTACGAAGTATCTCTAACCATCACATGGAGACTCCAGGTGCTTCTCATATGGGATTGAGGATAGTCAACTAGGTTGGGTTAGTCGATCAAACCACACCGACCAAGATCAACCGATTGAGCTGACCTCATCGACTAGGCTTAGCCAGCCGAGCTAGAGATGGTCGGGCGCAAGCCCGTACATGCAAATTTCAAAAATACCCCAATATATATTCTTTATAGGTGGGGGCAAAAATATATTAACATGATTTTACTGAACTATTTATAAATAGAAGAAGCATCAAATCGAGAGTGAACATTACTTTTAATGTTCATTTTTTTTCTTTATATTCTCTCTCTTTGTTTACATTATATTTCTTGGATGTGATTCACGTATAATCTTAGATTCAACATTATCACTTATAACAAACATACTATTAAATTCTTATGTATTTACATATTTACCATTTATATTTTTACATTTATTCCAATAACACTAATCTTTGGATGACATGAATATCATGCATGCATTTTGATATCATTTAAAGTTTGGTGTGTTATGTAAATAAATATAAAAATTAAGTTTTAGTGACATGCATGGAAATCCTCCTTCCTTTTTTTAATACTAGCTACATCTGTTTTTTTTTTTTGTTATTATTAAATTATTTTTTATTAAAAAAGGATTGTAAATTACATATTTTACACTTATAACATAAAGTACTATGTTCAAGACCTGTCATATCGTATATTTTATAAGTACTTTTTATCGTGTCTGTGCTATATAAGTTATTTTTGCCATTTAAAATTGATATAATAATTTTTATTTACTAAATATATTTTAAAATAAGCATGGCATATGCCCAATTTATATAATATATTAATATTAATATTATTAAATGAATAAAATATGAAAAGGATTTTATTCAAGGCCACTTACAGTGTCGCTTTCTAGTTGCAGAAAAGCTCTTAAAAAAGAAAAAAAATCCATCTCATCATAATCAAGGTGTAATTTTTCCTTCTCCTCGGGCGTCGAGCGGTCCTGTACTGTTGGAGAGGAATCCATGAGCGTATAGGTAGGCTCATTTTTTCCAAATCCAGTCGTAGTTTTGTTTGGAGGAGACTCAGCGTGATTCACACGGCTTATGAGCTCGGATCTGTTATTTCTATGGTGTAAAGGTGCGAGTTTCGTATGTCATGTAGCAGTCATCTGAGAAAAACCCTATTGGAGGAAAATTAACTCTTGATTTGTGTTCGATTTTTAGTTTTATTTTCAAATTTTGAAATGCATCGCAGTCTTCGGAGTCAAAAGTTTAGTGTTTTTCATTTGCTTTTTGTGGGATTAAGGCTTTGTTGTTGTTGTTGTTGTATTTGCTTTTGTTGAGCGTTGTTGCTGGATGGTGAGTCGATATTAGGGATTTGTTACTAGCTCGTCAATGTTTTTTTTTTTTTTTTTTTTTTTTTTTTTCTTCTGCGTGTTTTGAGATTCTATTGTAACCTACAATGGAGTTCGGTTGTGGCGTTTTTTGGCAGATCATCGGTCCGGCGTTCCTTGGTTTAATGTATGGTTAGAATGATGAGATGAGTTATGATAGCGGGTGTCTTTCAAATTTGTTCTTTTATTGTGTTGTATGGGTTTGTCATCTTTCTGGATTTGGTGCAGTTTGAGAGTTTAGGGTTCTTTTGCCGTTGATTTTCTGGCTTAGCTTCTTTTTATGGTTATTTTGGTTTCCAAAATTTTAATGAAGGGGATAGATCTGTTTATTTGTTTAAATGCTAAAAGTGCATGGATCATGGATTTCTTTTCTGTGAAGGTTTGGATTTATCTACTTGCCTAATTGCAAGAGATATTTGAAATGATTTAAATGCTAGAATCTCCTGGATAAAAAAATTTCTTTGCTTTGGGGTTTATGTTTTATAAGTTAACTAGAAATGAAAATGTTAAGGTGGATGTGAGGTTAACTTCGGAAGTATAAATTCAGAAAAGATTATATTAGAGAGATGATAGGGTAACATATGTTTAAAAGAAGGTATTTTAGAAAAGATTTTAATATTTTGGACACATATTATAGAGTGGATGGCACACTAATAAAGCAACTAGATAAAATTAGCGTGGATGTTTAAAAGGAAAACTAGGCAGACTAAAGATCACACCGCTTGAAATTGTGCAATAACATTTACATAAATGAAGATGTCATCATAAAAAAAAAATGGAAATGTGGATTTGTTTTTGAAGTTTTTTCTTCACTTTGGAGTATATTGATTCCCAAAATTGTTGCTAGAAGGTTCAATTGGAAATGATATATGTGTGGAATTTGATTTTCATCTCCATTTCTTGGTCATTCTTTCTTATTAGACTTTTGTTCTACTTTCTTTCACATATTTTTAGCCTCGTAAAATTAGTGCAGATTCCTCGCACCATGTTATCTTTTCTGTGGACATTTTCTCTCTAGGATCCATCCAAAAAGGCATTTTAACAAGTTTTTTTTTCTTGTTGGATCTTAAGCTAAGATCCTTTTCATTGGTTTTTTTTCCTTCTTATGTTTAAGTTGTCTTGTTCATGCTAAAATTTTTAATTGCTGTTACATATGCATTTTTTTATTTCTTTTGTTAGCGAATGGATTTTCTGCTTGATGAAAGTGATTATATTAGTCGTGGAAGGTTGATGGTATAAATGTTAAAAAGCTTCATAGAGCAGGTCGTGGATTTATTCAGTCATTCAATCTTTTGAGATAAGCTTAAACTATGATCGGACTATCAAAACGATTACTCTGGATATTCTAGAAGCATGGCAAGCTAGTTGCTTGTGACTCTGTCGGCCTGTATAGTTTATATAGAGTACAGTGCTATGCTTGAACTCCCTTTTCTATGTATTTATGTTGTTCCTGATGATCTCCACTTTTATGCATAGATGCTCTTTCTGATAACAGAACATTTTGTGTATAATTTTAATTCACATTGTTTATCATGTGTAATTGCATGAGAATCAGCATTATGAAATATATCTTCTATTAGAATAGAGGTATACTTGAAAAATAAACATTTTATAGATATTAATAAGATTTCTTGTCATTGTTGAATATCTTTTACCTCAAGTATGCAATGATTAATTCTCTCACCTCAAAAAACAACAATCTTGATTTTTGATGGAAATTGAGCTTAAAGCAGAATAAATTTATGCCAATAGTACGATGCCAACATCTATTTTAATGAAGAATACTATATTACTTAGAAAATTTCAAAACTTGCATACATATATGGATGTGCGGAGCATGTGTACTCATTAACACCCATTTTATATTCTCAAATACTCACTGTTTTTTCATCATTTATAAGCTTATGCCTTTGTATCTGCAATTAATCGTGTGATTGTAATTTGAAGAAAAAATGTTTATGTGTCTTAAAAATCTTCCTTAATCAAAAATTTATTTTGCTTCTGTTCAGAAGTTGCTCCTTCATGAATTCATCATATCATCTCATTAAGAATTTGTCTTAAATGGTGAATTCAAGCTTTTTAGTCACCCTTTAATATTGATACTTGTTAGCATGAAGTTCCGTCAACTTTATGAAACCTCCTTCGAGTCTCATTTAACCTAAACTTATGGAGAGCAGTCTCAACAGATCTCGTGTTGGAAGTGTCTTTCTACTTCAATACAAAAATAAGTGCCGTCCTTACTTTTATGTTTGCATTTAGTCTCATCAGGAGCTTCTCCTGATCAACTAACCACCTATTCTTATCGACAATCTCATCTAGAGCTTCGGTTAGCTTGCATGGATGCCAAATATAATAAAATCTTTTCAATTAAAATTAGTTATATCTTCAAACTGTAACTGCAATTATTTATTGTCTATGCATTCTTTACCTATTTATACCTTATCATCCTCCAAGTGTTCATGCATTCAATAAAGCCTCTGTCTACTGTTTTGATTGCTCATTCGTTATCAATATCATGAGTGTTTGTTGCTGCTCTTCCATTCATGTGCTTGGTGGAAAAAATCCTAGTTTTTCTTTAATGCTGTTTTTCTTATATATTGATTGTTTTCTAGGGAGAAGGTATGTTACTGTTGCGATTTCTTGATGTTATTTTTCTAAAAAATTTACAACTCCACCCTCTTTTATGAATTGACTGGTATACTCTATTTCCTACACAATGTTTATTCACTTTAATAGATAGTTGATATAATGTTTGACAATAGCAACAAATTTGTAATAATATTCAAAATTACTGAATGCCTGCCATCTTTTTTTCATTGCAAGTTATTTTACCCTGTATAATATTTTATGAAGAGACTTGCCATGGGACATGTCCCTTCTCTTCATCTTCAGCTTTCAAGCAAGAGTAGTCCTACACTCTTGTAATATATCTTAATTTGAATTGGTGTCTTATTAGATGTTTTTGTGTAACTTATTATATCAATTCATTCATTTGGGACTTATGAATCATCACGTTCCTCATGTCCGGAAGATTTTTTTTATCAAATACCTTTACGTCTCTTCACAACTGCTGGTGTAAAGCTGTGCGCATCAACTTCTCCCTAGATCTTGCTTTAGTTGGAGCTCCATGTACTGGCATGCCCTATTTGATTATCTTACGTAAGTTTCACATAAAAATAAAGCTTTTCACTAAGAAAAAGGGTCTTTTACCTGGATTAAGGCATGTGGGTGAAATTCCATTATGTTCAGATAATAATTTATTTCCAGGCATAATATCTCAGTTTCATGTTTGAGTGAATTTGCCTTTTTTTAATTATGTTTATATGGGAACAAGTGGAAGCCAAGGACTGGGAAAGCTGGATGCGGAATATTATAAGCGGTTGTGTATGAAATCACTGATTTGAAGAGATGTTCATAAACTTTCACATAATTAGCTGACTGGCCACTAATATGGATTTATTTACAATTTATTGCTTCTTTCATTTTGTTTTGTTCTAATCCGCATGATATTGTGTTCAGGAATATTTACATTACAGCCGTAGATTCAGCTGTATTTAAGCTTATCTTCAACAAAAGATCTTCTCGTTGACATAAACAAGAGCATGACTCAGATTCCTGAAATCTCTGAAAAAAGTGGTGATCCAATCAAGATTGGAACGGTCGGCACAATAGGCTCTTTAATGTCCCAGGAACTAGATTCCATGAACTCAGCCCAAGCAGCTTCATCCTCTCAAAATAAAAATTTGACCACCCCTCCTTGCCTTCCCTGTGTTGATACCTCTAGCACACAACCAAGTAAAATTCAATCCAACGAAGCCAGCAGCAGCAACAACCACAATGCTCATCCTCACCACCTTTCTAACTCCCAGAAACTCAACAAGCAAAAACCTCTGAAAAATGGCCAGCGAGCTCCAATTTTGACCAACGAAGCCATCCCAGACAAGAAAACTAGAAGAAACAGGCCCAGCACAAAAGGACGGCGCACTTACATCGTTGAAGTTGTGGATATTAAGTGCGGCAATCCTATGAGCAGCAGGCTGAAGAAGTTTGGCTTCACCAAATTATCCGAAACAATTGGTTAGTTTTGCATCAGTTTGTTGCCATGAGTTCTTTGTTTTGTGCAGCCTGTTCCCTCAACAACTAAGCATATGCTTCTGCTGCTGAGTGCCTTATTCTTCTGGAGCCTAATATGAGATCACTTTCTTTGACTTGTGAGCTCCTGCGGTGATTTTTTTTCGGATTTTTATGTATCCCATCTTCCTGGAAGAGGAAGGTTTCATAATTTTACTTTTCCTACCTCACCTGTAGAAGTTTAATCTGGGAGAAGAGAAACATAATTCTAGTTTAGGAAAGTTGTTGGACACATAAATGTTTATTTAGATGAAGGATAAGGAACTCATACTAATTCTGTGACATTCTTCCTATGTTACCTTAATGATCTTACCTTAATGATCTTTAATATTCAGTAACCTTTTTTTGTTTTTGTTTTTTTTACTTTAATTCAGTGCATTTATATTTTCATGCCACTTGGTTACTGTTGTAGCGTTGTTTCGTATCTTTTCCTTTGTGTTGCTCAGTCAAATTTTTGGAAGTGATTGAAGTTGAGTTACATGTGTGAGTTTTCATTAGTTCATTTTTATTATTATTCTTTATATTTAGTCGAATAATTCAATGGCCAATGGAAGCTTGAAAATATAGGGTAATTTTTCTAAATTAAATAATCAGTCGTGGATTATTTAATTTCAAGTGAGCTAGATCATAATTAATGTCATTCTGTCTAGTGGTGTACACCGAGCCGAACATGAGTGAGTGCAGGCTCAGCTCGTGTTCGGCTCGGTAAAAAATCTCTGTTCCTGTTCAGCTCGTTTATATTTCAAACATAAAAAATGTGTTTGTGTTCGGCTCATTTGCTTAGCGAGCAGAGTACGAGCTGTTCGCGAACAAAGAGTCATTTTAGCAACCCCGATCACGCAACCGTTGGATGTTGAGGGTTGGGGGCAAGATTTAAATTCTATTGTTTATATTAAAAGATCATTTAAATATAATTTAATATATATATTTTTCTATTTTTTAATTAATGATTTTAATAGATTATAAATTAGTCAATTAAATTTTAAAAAATTACTCATCAATAAATATATAGTTCGTGTTTGGCTCGTTAACTTAACGAACGAATCGAACGCGAGTTTCTTAATGGCCGAACACGTGTAGTTTGCAAACAACGAGCAGTTTTGACAGCCCTAATTCTGTCCAGTTGATCGGACTCGCCCTTATACTCTATATGCTACGACCAATAAAATTATTTAATTGATATGCACAGATCAAATCTATGTTAGGAAAAAATAAATATTGGCTAATATATCTGGCCCAATCGCCCTTATCCTCTATATGCTACGACCAATAAAATTATTTAGTTGATATGCACAGATCAAATCTATGTTAAGGAAAAAATAAATATTGGCTAATATATCTGGCCCATCTTATAGCTTCCAAAATTTTTTTTTTTCTAAATTAGGGAACTATATACAATATAAAAATTGATTTATTAAGGCTAAAAGGTTTTATATCAAATAAAGAGGATATTATAAAAACGACACTTGCACTTCAAATATTTATATAACCAGCTCCCAACTCCCATTTGTAATTATATCATTCAAATCTTAAAAAGCACAATAAAATCTTGATTAGATGCGTAAGATTTTGCTAATTTGATAATTAATTTCCTTTAAATAAAGACGTCTACATTATTAACAAAGCCGAACAGCAGCTTAAGAAAAATTAAAAAATCAAAACTGATTGCAAAATAGTACCTTCCAAAATGCACAAAAAATAGTGAATGAAACCTAGTAAAAATCTACAAGCAATAAACGACTATGAATTGAAAAGAAGACTGACAATAATCCCATAAAGTTCATATGACATCAAATAGTTGTCTGGCAAACCAAATAATCATTATTTCATCTTCACCGAGTGCTTGAAAACTTTCATGAACATCAAAAGGCTCAAATGAAGTCCCAATCAAATATTATGAAGGGGCATTTACATACATACCACCAAATTCTTATGTATTTAGATATCCAGCACCTAATTTTTACATTTTACATTTAAACCATCACATATTACATATTACATGAAAAATATCACTGTTTTAACTCTTAAAAAGTGAAATACATATTTTCATGCATAAGATGGCATAAAAGAAAATATTGAAGTTTCAAGTGTTGCATATAAGAAATACATAAGAATAGAGTGGTATGCATGTAAATCTTTCTATTATTAAATATCAAAGAGGGTGCTGAACTTCATTGCCAGGGGGACTAACAATATGGCACTGGCAACTCCAACTCCAAAAATTCTGTGGGAAATGGAATAAGTGGCGCTCAGCTGTGGCTTCTTCAAAGGCAAATGTGGCGATAAAGGTCGGTTCAGATAAGCCCCTTTAGCAGATTCAGAGATAATCCGGCTTCCATGGAAGGCTCTGCTACCAGTGAGAGACCTCTTCGCTAATCTTTCTTCTGTGGGCAGCTCAATGTTTGAGGGGAGCCGCCGCACTGCATTATTGTCGCTTGTTCGGCTTGAACCGATCAGTCCTACGAAGTAACAAGAGGTTTAGGGTCGCTTAACTTATTTCACAGCAACAGATTACTGAATAGAGGATTAAATCGAAGGAGTGAGAGAATCGGTTAGTCTTTTTCTATGCAGGAAGATTGCCCATTGATTTGCATCCCCCAGGAAATATTGCAAATTAATTTTATTTTTGCATCTTGAAAAGGTATGATGAAGTTAATGTATAAGTTGTCAAATCACTCACCCCGAAGTGCAAATGAAGTATCCATCTTAATGCAGCGAAATATACAAATAATAAATCCTTGAGTCCTGCAGAAAACTAGAGGCTAATTCAAAACATTATGAACAAGAAATATGAATATTAAATGAATTGTTGTCATAAAAGAAGCAATCTCAAATAGAAAACAAGGAAAGTCATGTTTCAAGTTAAACCAGAAAAAAAACTATATAACACTATCTTGGAACCGTTGTAATGTTCTTATTGCTTAAATATTTTAAATGAAGTTATTAATTTTGAAAGTTAAAGATTAATAGAAGTTCAAGTGATACATAGAAAATCTTAGAGCAGCGTATTACATTGATGGTTAGAAAATAAGAGATGGCTAGTGATTAAAAGCAATCAATGGTTAGAAAGCAATGCTTAAACAAACTGTTAATTTTGAAAACAGTAGTTTGTTACAAGTTCTAAGATAAATAAAGAAAATTTAGAGAAAATCGCTGTCAAGTTGCTACAACTATTTTGATGTGTAAATAACCAGAATGCTACAATTGCATTTAGAAATTGAATGCTATTATTCTCTTTTCAGAGTAGCAAAGCTATTTTGACAAATTACTCTAATTGCTGCGTTTACTACTTAAATTGAAAAACCAATGAGCTAAAACTGTTGTGATGAATTAAATATCTCATGATACTAAAATGGGACAAAATATGGTGATTTTACAACATGCCCAGCCATGGAAAAGATAATAGGCTAGCTTGTCTTTAATTCAAAACAAGGCAATCATTCACTAAGTCCAAATGAAGAACTTTCCATGCGGCATAAAGCCAATAAACCCTTTATCAACAATAGTAAACCTCACGAGAATTACCCAATCGCCATCCACATGGCAGGCATGCATTTCAAATACACCTGTAATAGACAATATGCCATAACATTTGCATTAATAAAAAACTCTATGCAGAAATGTCCTTTTCTTACTAGTATTTCCAATTACAAGCATCCCTAAAAAATTCTGTGAAAGGACATGCCTTTCTCGTTGAAGATCGCATTCAAACTTTAAATCCCATTACTTAGTATGTTAGAAAATAGGTACATAAGATGTAGTTATGATCTAGTAGTTGTAAAATTACTAAAGCAGATCCCCTCGAACATTCCACATATGATTCTCGATCGTCAAGCATAACTTGCATTTATTCCCTTACACATAACCTCATTCATAAATCAGGGTTGACAGTACAATAAACAAACATCAGGTAAGGAACTTCTAGCAACCAAATGTGGTTATTCAATGGGAAATATATATTTGGTTCTACTTTTATATTAGTGTCACTTAGAAAAATATCAAGTTAAAGAAAGCTATCTTTATAATCATATGTTAAAACAATATACTCATTCCTTTAAATATAATAGAGTGATCCACTAGCGAATAATATGCAACAAAAGAAAAAAGCTTTCCCCTCTAACATGATATAAAGACAAATTCGTTCCAAGTGTAACTGTCCCCTCCCTTCCCTCCCCCCTCCTATTGTATATATACCCTAGCCATACATCTCTCCTACAGCTTTATGCAGCCCCATTGTTTCTTATTTTTGTCTTTGCTTATTATTTCTACTCCGAATACACATGAAGAAGCTCTACTCGAAGCATGAAATAGATACTAAAATTTGGTGTTATTATTAATTTTTTTATCATACTTGGGATTTGGTTACACTTCCTATTAGGGTTAAACCAAATTCATGTTGAAGGGTCTTTATTTTTAAGTTTCATCATAATGGATTATTGAAAGCTACAACGCTCATTAGTGGTGGAAGAATAAACATAAGTCCAAAACATAAACTACTACAAGTTTTTCTCCACTATCACTCAGATTTATCATCTTATTTTCTCTATTGTTATTAAACAAGGGCAAACTATATCTCAAATAAATATTGACAATACTCTTCCATACAATGACCTCATCGAAGCTGTTTAAATGCAGCAATCTCCTTGGCACATTGCTTAGGGGAAGAACAAAATATACAAACATCAAATACCTAAGAACACATTCTTCTAAAACAATTTATAGTGATAATAACATATAATCTGAAAGATATAATTTATTACACGATTCACAAAGATATTATAAGATGTCTCAGTGTCAGTAAAAAGTTTCACAAAATCTTCCAAGCCGATAATCTCATTAAGGCTTTTACATTAATATATGATCTAATAAATATTCCCATAGCGCACAATATGAATTAGTTAAAGCATTTCAACAGCATATTCAATAATATCTTATCAAGATTTTATAATAAGAAATTCAGCTTCACAACTCAAACATTAGATTCCTCATTCATGGTTTGACAAATTAAAGTTCTAAATAAAAATGGACTAAAAATGTCAATTATTATTCAAGACAAATTCTTGGAAACAAAGATTCTTGCTACGTGTTGATAATATTCTTCTCATTGGAAGTGAAGCTACGGGCATTATTAAAAATATGCATATGTTGTCGTCTGATTAAGTTCATTAGCAAAGATCTAAGGCACCCAAAACAATAGTTTGCCTTAATGTTTGCATATAATTAAAAAGACATTTTTTCTCCCTCATAAAGAATATGTTATAAACCTTCTTAAGGAAATGTCTTCTTGGATGCAAGCCTACTCTCCTATGAATACTCTACAAACATGTGAAAATGAATAAGATCTTTATAGATGTTTCCTGCTATTGGCGTTTGGTAAGTAAGCTGAGCTATCTGACTGTCATTAGGCTTTATTACTTTATTGTTGGTGAGATTTGTCATATGCAAGATTTGAAAAACATATAGGGAGTGTACTTGGAGGATGTTGAAATAAATCAACAAAATCTTCTAGAAAAGGACTAGTCCATTATTGAAAAAATAACCCAAGTGTTGAAGTTCATGCAGATGTTGATCCATTGCAAATGGAAAGTCAAACCTATAAATATTGTATCTTTGTTAGTAAAAATCACGAGATTTGAGGGACTGATAAGCAAATAGTTGTGACCACATCTAGTGCTAAAAGTAGAATACAAGGGAAATGTATCACTCAACATTTCAAATGGTAAGGATTAAAACTCTTACTGAGAAGCTTAGGTTACCAATTTATTATTTTAAACTATGATAATAAAGATCCTGTCTATATTGCTAACAATTTTTTCTTTCACAAAAGGACTAACTATAACAAATTTGAATGTCACTTTATCAAGGATACTATTTTGTCAAAAAAGATACTCACACGTTATATTTGACTGAAGAATGGTTAGTTGATATAAAAGCCCTTTATTTTTTAGACATACAACAAGCTGAATCTACTTAATATGCATGCTTCATCATGGGGAGTATTAGTGAAGAACAATACAAAATCAGGAAAATCACTATATTTATCGAGTGTTATGCATTTATTTGATTATATTTCAGAATTTCTTTTTCATTCTTAAATAGAGTGTTCTTCTATTGATTAATGTACAAAAACACCAAAAAAATTTTCCTTCAAACCAGAATCTAAAGATTGCAAGAACAAATAAAAATTAAATAAATTTTAATAACAAATTGTAATAAAAATAATCAGCATTAAAAAATATGGTATTATTCATAAGGAGTAAAGTGTCAAAATTATAATAACTATAACTTAATAAAATAAAATAAATAAATAAATAAACATATAAATAAAAATTGAAACAACGCGCATAACCATCTCTATTTTTATACTTTGGAGTCATATGTCACATTTCGAACCACTCGAATCATACGACGCATCAGAGCGAGTGAGAGTGGGAGATGGAGAAGAATCGTGTGTAACCCTAGCTTGCTATCAACGCCACATTCGATTGAGAGAAGGGAAGACGTTGCCTTGAAACCGAAAAGGAGAACCTAACCACACGCGTGTAAGAATTGGGGTCGAGGGAGAAGTTGTGGGCGGTGGGTTTGTTTGAAAGTGACGAGTAAACAGTGTAAGGTTTTGTTGGCATCCAGTGTGGAAAAAGGTTTTGAATTGAAGACGAAAAGCTCTAGACGACTTCGACATGTGCAAGGGAACAATATAGTCATGCGTGCGTCCTCCGTGTGTGAAGGAAGAAAGAGAAGGGTTGCATGTGCGGGAGGTTTCGATACCTCAAGTGAGCCACTTTGTGCGATAGGGGAAGAGACGAAGCCGAAGCCCTGAGATTCTTGCTACCTCCCATGCACATATTGTGCGAAGGAGAAGAAAAGGAGCAAACGCTTGCGAGAAAGGAGAATCGTGCTAGAGGGGGACCAGACTGAGCTCAGTGAAGTAAGGATAAGGGTTTAGTTTTTATTTATGCAAGCTATTTTTTTATTTAATTAAATATTAATAAGTTGTATATAAATTCTATGAATTTGATATCAATGATAAAGTTGCTCATGCAATCAAAGTATGCTACTGGGTGAGATTGAGATCAACAATAATGCATTAGAATAAGGGACAAAGTGAGGTAAGTTTTAAGTAAATTATCAATTCAGGATTTTACATATTTAATTTAAATGTATTAAATCTTCTTTTATTAATTAATGCCAAAACAAAAATATTTTGATTGGAGGAGATCTATATATTGGAAGAGGTGACTAAGGAAGAAGCAAATAAGAAAATAATATGACGTATGACATTAAGTTATAAAGTGTGTAAAATATTTCATGAAAACCTAAATAAAACTTTAAATTTATGATGTAAAGTGCCTTTAGGTTTTAGACATTAAGCATGTTATAACAAATTAAATATGAAGGAGATTAGATTATTTGATATAAGATTATGATTCAAAATTATAGGTATTAAATAAATAATAAAGCTAAAGGTTCTAAGTGACAATAATTAAGTAAAATAAAAGTGACTAATTATTACTTTATTTGTATTAAATTAGTCACTTCTATGATTTTAAAATGTTTCATTTATTACACATATTAAGAAAATTCTTATAATTGAACGATCACAAGTGAAAATGTTTTGCATGTTTTATGATCTTCATTTTTTTATCCTTTGGGTTGATTAAATAAATACTTAAATGAATTTAATTATGAAAATAAATAAAATATAAGTTAAATAAAAAATAAATGATCAGGTTTATCAAGAGTCA